CGCTTCCACTTCTACCTCTATGTGAGTTTCTCAAACATATTTATTTAGTAATTTATATTATTTATTTCAAACTAGTTGAGAGCTTATTTTCATTGACAACTTATTTTTATTCTTCAAAAAATATATGGAAGATGGTAGACAAAATCTACTACACTGATGGCGCTGAATTAACTTATGAGGAGAAAGATCATCTTATCTTTTTTATTAGTGATGTTGAGAATTACAATATTAATTATGAAACTCCTGCACATTATGGTCAATACGTGCCACTAGTGCACGTGTTGAACTACGGCAACATCCATGGAGATGGTGGCATGGTAAGATTTTTTTACTATTACGACATCCGTGCATCTTTTGCATATATTCTTCTAAAGCTAAACTACAGGCCTGTTCTGAACTCCTCCAACTTCTCAAAACTACACAAATCCAGCTTCTTTTCGTGGCTTCTCGCTCCATATGCAGCGATTTCCCTTCCGTTCGGGAGTTAAATCAGCTTCTACATCGCCATCTTGGGCTAGCAGCAGTTGTTGGGCCATCTACCACCATATTGGCCGGCTGCAACCAGCTCAGATGGCTGCCGAGGGAAGACGTGGTACCTGTTCGTAGCGATAGTTGGCTCTCGAGGGGGCGAATCATTTTCTTTTGCGCTGCTGGATGAAACGTTTTGTTTGGCGGTGGCACATTAGCTGTAATATGGGTGAACTTCAAATTCTCGTTTTTGTGAAGCTGGCCCGACCTTGCTCCAGATTTTTGCACTAGAGTCGACCGTAACTTCCTGAAGCTAGCTTCTGGCAGCTATTCCGTTCGGCTCAGCTCCTCTCGAGAAGTTTGTGAAGCTTGGAGTGGGAGGACGTCAGAACAAACCCTACATTGCTAACTACGACGTTACTATTATGTTTTTTCAACAGAAGACCCCAAAGGATTGTGTGCCTGATCTGATGTTTTAAAGGTCGCCTTGATGTTATTAGCTTATGGCCAAGTCTGCCTAGGCTTCACCGCTGTTCATACCGGATTTCTAAAACCGATGAATACATGACAATCAAAGAATGGAAAAAATGTATGGACAATCATAGGGAGCTACTTGGAAGCAACATTGTGCGAAGCGCAAGAATTGTAGACAGGATAATCTCCATTCTTCATAATGGAGCGTCATGGCTTATCTTGTTTTATGTTATTTTACCTTAGAGAGGGTAGTAGGTCCTAAGAACAATTAAGTAAGGTTGGTTAGATGACTATGATGATGATGAGTATAACTTGTTATTATGTTAACGAGTAGAAGTTGTTAGATGACTATGATGATGATGAGTATGACTTGTTATTATGATAACGAGTAGAAGTTTTTAGATGACTATGGTGATGATGAGTATGACTTGTTATTATGATAACGATGATGAGTTATTATTAATAACGATGATGATGCTTAGTTGTTATATCATTATGAGCATGATCAGTTATTATATATATATAGGTGGGTGAAATAAACATGGATTAGATTCAAGTGAAGACAATATGATGCATATCCAAAGTACTACTAATCTAAACTTGATCAATCCATGTCTCGTTCACCTACTGAAATAATAACTCATCATGATCATAAAGTCATATCATGAGACTACTATAAACCAGTACAAATACAGCGGCAATATGCAATAGAAAAAAATAACAAATTTTACCAGTAGCGCTGCGATGCTATAAACTACTATGAACCGATTTCAACCATGGATCCTGCGTTGCGTTGCAGCATCCCAGAGGTGGCGGTGGAAACCGATTCAATGGAGAAAAAGGAAGGCCAGGCTGCAGGGAGGGGAATGGGAGATGGCGGGGTTCCGGCGGTCGTGCCACATCTTGTACGGGAGTGTGCGAAGAAAAGGGGAAAAAGGGATTAGCTCGATCTAGAAGAAGGGCCGAACGAAAGAGATAAGGATGACAGACGTCGCGGGACCACCAGACGACGTGTCGCGCGAGCAAACCGACTGATTTATCAAGAAATCAGTCGGTTGAATCTAAACATTTTCCTATTTCAAGACATGCTAAAAAAGTTATTTCAACACATATGGCGATAGCAACAACGTTACAGAGATGCATGCAACATGAATATTGGAAATAGAGCATGGATTTCTTGGCGGTATCGCCGTTCCATTCACTGGCTCACTGCCCTTGTCAATCACGGCAATCGTAGTATTTGTTGCATCCCCGGCCCGTGTACGGATAACCGGCCGGCGCCGGGCAGTTACGGACACAGCGTGGCTTGTTGGCGTCCAGGGCTCCGTTGGAGATGTCGCCGGCGCCGTAGACGCGGCTGCGCACTTCCAGGTCCATCGTTGTCACCACCGCGAGCTCCGGCGCCACTACATCCTCCAGCCTCATCGACGACGACGACGACTTTGGCATCACCGCCTGGTCGACGTTGTAGACCGCCGCCGCCTCGGTGTCTGGGCAAGCGAGCACAAGGGCAAGGATCACAAGAGAGACGCACACATTTCTGTCCATGGTAGCTAGCTACCTAATCGATCTGTTTGTGATGGCAACCATGGGGGAGAGTGCACCGATTTGTATATGCATCGACGTAAATTTGGTGTGAGGCAGCTCTCATGGCCCAATCTAGCCGCTAGCTGCTAGGACCACCAGCTTCATAGTTCTTTACGTTGCTTCCCGTCACAATAACTGGTTGCTTCCATGGAAGGTTTTGGTTTTGGTGGTGTCTTGTTTGTTGTGTCTGAGAACCCGATCGATGGAACACCTTTAGTTACAGCCAAGCTCTGCCTATGTTCTCTCACCTGCACTGCACTGCATCTACATGCAACCTGCAGACGTGCGAGGTACGTGCCGGTCAGTAGATGGCCAGAGTGGTCCATGAACTATACTAGAATTTTGCCTTTAATACATGTACTTCAGCCCAAATAAAACCCAGCGCTATCAAGCGCGTCTACTTGACATTGGAGATATCTGTCCTCGACACCTCCCCCCGTTTTCCCGTGTGTTAGTTTTTTCGTCTTCACGACCCCCTGTTTCCTGTATATTATTTTGGTAATCTCAACTGATGCTGCACAAAACAAAAATATGGAGTAACATAGGATAATCTATACTAAATCAATACTTCTATTTCCGTTCCTACTCAATCCCTCTCTCGATTCGCTTGCTGTTTTTTCACCCATGCCTATCCTGAATTCGTACAATCTTGCAGTAATGTGGAGACTAACCCTTTTTTTTCCTAATCCATTAGTGTACACCATTTCATATATAGTACTAAATCTTTTTACATGCGTTGCCAAGGATAGGCCATTGACATAGGTTGTGAGATTGGACTAGGGAGGTGGAGATTTGGGTAAAGTATATATGAGACATGATTGATGTTGAACAATAAGAATATGCATGTCCCATTGCAATGCATGGGTAGTTAGCTAGTAAGAGATAAGTGGCGACGGAGCTCTGCTTAGGTTCTGATATAGATCTTTCACCTGCACTACACACTGAATCTCCATGCAACATGAAGACATGGGAGGTACTCCTTTTTTAAAAATCTAAACACACTTGCTTTATTAATCAATAATGTTCATCGGGATACAATGTAAATCTGGTGGCTTTAAAACTCAAATATGACGCCCAACATCCAGATTAAAAGCATCTTTAGCGAGCCTCGGAATTGGAATATCTGCCCTCGAAGATGAGGGTAAGTGCAGGCCAGTAGGTGGCCACGGTGGTCCATGGACCACACTAGGATTTTGCCTTCAGCCTAAATATAACCCAGCGATTGCTCAACGCATGTACCTGACGTTGGGCCTTGGCCGCGGAAATACTTTGGTACCAATCATTTCCGCTTCCTGAGTGAGCGCCTGCCTCATTCTGTTGTGGGGGCTCCTATTCGGCGCGTTAAACACCATGAAAGCTTTCTGGCGCCCATGCGCCATCACTCGTGGGCCAGCCCATGTACGTGGCGACCGCTCGATTCTCATTCCTGGTTCATCGACCGCATTTACTGTTGACTGACGAAAAGAAACAGAAATTTATAAAAAACCGACAAATAATAGTGAATTAAAAAATGTTCATGGATTTTGGAAGAAGGTTCATGAATTTGAAAAACAAATCATCAAATTTGGGAAAACGTTCATCGATTTGGAAAAAAATGCATGGATTTTGAAAAAGAGTTCATCGAACTTGAAAAAAGTTCATCAATTTTAAGAAAAATTGTTGAATGATTTGAGGATTTTTCTAACGAATTTTAAGAAAAGTTCATCGAAGCAGAAAAAGAAAAAAAGGAAAAGGGAAAAGTAAAATAAAAAGGAAGAAAAGGAAAAAGATTCAAGTAACCACTTTGGGTTTGGTGGTGTTGTGGTTACTACAGCTTGCGATGTTTTACGAGGTCATAGGTCTGATTCACTCCAAGAGTATTTTTTGTAGATTAAAAAATGAAAAAAAAATGATGGGCCGGCCCAGCACGAGAGGGTGTGTGCGCCAGTTTGCAAAATACACAATAATGAGCGCCTGAAGCGCCGCCTTATGTTATTCCCAAGCCAACGGGGACTGAAGAGATAGGTGGCAACTGCGCGGCGGATGTTGTCAAAACTTTAAACTATGGCGGCCTACCGCATTATTCCTCCCTGTTTCATATTGTGTACTGCTGATGAACTTTTTGGTTGTGCCTCGTGTGTTTACTGTTTAGACTGTGTAAGCATAGTATGCAGAGGGCAATGGTTGAACTGTTGTGCAGTTTCATGAGCCTGATGTGAGGCCAGATTAATAAAGAGAAGCTTGCATTACCGAGAAAAATACCATAGCAATATACCATTATAATTAAGATAACGTTGAGTTCCCGTTCGTACTCTAGATGCAGAGGCCGGCCGGGAGGGAGATGATAACGAAAGTTCCCTTAAAAAAGAAGTTATTTCAAGATGTATATAGCAATAGCAACAACAGTCCGAAATTCAGAATTGGAATGAGAATGAAACATGGATCGATGCAACGCGCGAGTGCACCGACGCCCGAACGTGGTGCTGGTCCATTCAGATATTCTTGTTGCGGCAGAGGAAAACGCTTTTGCATCCATGGTCGGTGTACGGCTGTCCGTGAGCCCCGCACTGACCGTGGCAGGCTGGCCCTTTGCTGTCCAGGGCTCCATAGCCGAGGTTTCCTTGGCCGGCGAGGACGCGGCGGTGCACCTCGTGCTCCAGGTCCACCGCCACGCCGTCCTCCAGCCTCATCGACGACCACGACAACGGCGTTGGCATCAGCTGCCGCGCCACCGCAGCCACGTCGATGCTGGCGGTGCCGCCGGCGAACGCCGCCGCAGCCCGCGTCGTGCCCGGGCCAGCGAGCACAAGCGCGAGGATTGCGAGTGAGATGCACACCTTTCTGTCCATGGTAGTGGCTAGCTGTGGAGGAGAGTGTTGCAAATATCACTACGAGCAGCACTGCAGGCGTATAGTAGATCAACGGTCGGTACTGGGCACCTCTCATGGCCCCCGTTTTTGTATAGGACAATATCGATATGTCTCTCCCTCAGTCTTCCCTTTTTTCTTTTACTTTTTTTGCGGGTATCTCCCTCAATCTTCCAAAATGCAAGAGATTTTGTGCTCCCGTTCCCATGCATGCATGTGGGTGATGTCGGCACGCAAACGAGGTACTATGAGACGGACGCCCCGTGTCCGGAGCCAAGCAGAAACAGATACTAGCGCGTATTTTTGTCGGGAAAGAAGATGGCACATGCTGCTTGGAACATTCTGTGAGTGCGACTACGCGTCTGACAAACTGATTCTCCAGACGCAAAAGCTACAAAGAGTAATGCTACATCCACGGGCTTGTTACGTACGTGTTACAGGGCTTACCATGTTTTAATTGGAGAGAAGAGGAAAGGGGGCTTACCACGTCAAGTGGTGCGCTCTCAATCCATCAAAAAATGACCTTTAAAAGGCTCATGCAAGGGGTACTTTTCAGTTAGTTGCTCTCTGTTTCCGTTTCTTTGTTTTAGAAAAAAAAATTAAGATTGTTGGGCATGGCACTTCAAAAAGAATTGTACGTTCACAGTCCGATCCACGTATAAAATGTTGGTGGCATGGCTAGAGGAAAGAGCTGGCTCTTCGAACCTAGCACATGATGAATCATCTTGGAAATCTCTATGGAGTACTCAGGTGCGGGAAGATAAGGATGTTTCTTTGAAGGCTTGCCAGACCTTCGTTGCCCACACAAGATGTTCGTTGCCATCGCAAGATGGTTGACACGGTGGCTTGCAGATTATGTGGAGTGGAGGACTCATGGCGGCACTTGTTAATAGAATGCTCAATGGCACGAAGCGTTTGGGCTCTTGTTGATGATGAGCTTTTGGAGCATATGATAGCGATGACTAAACCCAGTGCCAAACAATGGTTGTTCACAATGATATAATCTATTTCACACGACGCCTTTGTCCGTTTGTGGGTGACATTATGGGTGATATGGTGGGCGAGAAGGAAAGGGGATACATGTGGGGGTCTTCCAAAGCCCCTTGTTAACTAACATGTTTGTCAGATGTTTTATCTCTGAGCTTGGACAAATAACTAAGAAGGCCGCCACTGGACACCCCAGAGGATCTGGTATGAACGCTTGTGCTCCCATCATCGCACCACCTCATGGTTGTGAAAAAATTCAAGTGGACGTTGGGCTTGCATGTTCAAGGATTGGAGGAGTTGCAACTGTTGTGTGCCAAGATCATCTAGGCAACTATTTAGGCTCCTCTTCACTGGTTGTCCATGGAGTTCGGGAAGTTGCAACACTCGAAACAGTCGCATGTAGGGAAGCCCTATGTCTAGCAGAAGATCTTATGCTTCATGAGGTGTTGGTAGTGACTGATTCGAAACAGGTGGCCAACCATATAATCAATGGTAGCTGTAGGCTCTATGGACAGATTATAGCTGAGATCAAGCAAAGAGCACAGGAGTTCAGGTGCATCTTTCTCTATGAGGGAAGAGCATCAAATTATGAGGCACATTTGTTAGCCAAAATTTCTCACTCTTTATGTCATGGTTGCCATCACTAGTGCAGAACCGGGCAATAGCACCGGTTCGTAAGGCCCTTTAGTGCCGGTTCGGTAACCGGCACTAAATTGTGGGCACTAAAGCCCCCCCCCTTTAGTACTGGTTCAGCACGAACCGGTGCTAAAGGGCAACCACGTGGCACGAGCCAGCTCCGTGGGCACGTAGGACATTAGTACCGGTTGGTAACACCAACCGGTACTAAATGTTTGAGTGTGTTTTGATTTTATTTTTTATTTTTACTTTAATTTTGTTTTTTCAATTTAATTTAGTGATTGTTTTACATTATGATGAGTTGTTAAATCATTAGGTGAATGTACCGCAGATTAGTTTGACTGGATGCATGTGGATCCTAGCTAAGTCATCAAATATATGTCATGCATATCCATATTATATATACTTGATCACCTAATTAAGTGATCGAGGTAATATGGATATGGCATATACTTGATCACTTAGCTAGAATCCATCCAGTTGAAACTAATATGCAGTTTCTTTCATAAATAATATAATAACTCATCATCATCATCATCATCATCATCATATTAATATAAAAACTCTTGCATCATATATATCATCACCAACAACAGTTTTCATAGCAGCTAAAAATCATCATATAATAGTCGTCTCATTACCAGTACTTAATCATCATATAGTCATTACCGCTATCTAATCACCACCAACACTAGCTTAAAGAAGAAACATTCACTTGTACCAGAAGCAAAGATATCATCGAGTTCAACATGGTAATGATATTATAAGCATTCATAACACCACAAAAGCAAATCACTCTTTGAGATTAAGTTCAGGACGAAGAACACGGACACGAGAGGACAAGTACTAAGAGCATGAACTAGCTAATTAATCACTCCTGCTGCTCTCTCTCAGGTAAAATAGCATAGAACATGTATAGCTTTGCTGATTCATCATATTGGAGCATGCAGATGAACCTGTCTCCTAATCGTGGGTTGCGCTTCTGATTGCTGCCCCCTAGTACTTCTCTGTGATCGTTCACAATTTTTCTCCAGTCTTTTACTATTAAGCATTACTCGCTATTAGAAATCCTGAATGCACTAAAGTGCATCGTAGGATATCTTGGCCGTAAGCTAACAATATTCATGGTACCTTTAGTCTCGATCCAATCAGGCACAACATTCATCGGGAGTCCCTGTTGAAGAACATCATATAGTAACATACTTAGCAATGAAGTTTAGCTTAAAAAAATAATGTATGCAAAAGATGCACTGAGGAGAAATATTAGAAATCTTACCATCTTTCCTAAATATATATGACCGTAGTTCAGTACGAACACTATTGGTCGCACGTTTTGATTACTAACATTTCTAAGTGCAGGAAAGAAATTTGTCTTGACAGCATCAAGATCCTCAAGCCATGAAACATAATGACTTATCTCCTCGCAGTTTAGTTCAGCCCCGGGATAGTGGACGGTCCTGTCTACCAAGCGCCGGACATGTTTGCTTGATTGGAAGTAAGCTGTCAATATAAATTGAGATCTATTAATTATTCAACTGGTTCAAATAATCTCATATCAAAGACATAAATATGGTTGAGAAACTCACATAATGGTAGAACTGGAGGCATCTGCACATCGACCCAGATGTCTCTATTACCTTCAATATCATCTTCCGGACGAATATCAAAGGTGATAACCATATCAGGCTCAAATGTATAAGCCTTGCATAGTGCTTGCCAAGTTTTGCATTCAAAATAGGTGTATGTGTCTGCATTGTATAATTTGACGTTGAAGGTATAACAATGCTCGGTCTTCAAATAAACTCTTTTTACCTTCATAGTTTCGTTAGGACTGAAACCTATCTTATCCAAGACAAAAATTCTTGCATGGCAGGGGATACGCTAGTAGAATAGTGAAAAATTAAAATTAAAAGTTGAAGCAAATGAAGCATAAGTCATGCTTAATTACGAAAAAAGACTTGTCGTTGTGACTTACTGTATCCACTTCAAAGTTCTCATCCAGCTTGATGCTGAAGCGTCTATCATCAACTAGAAAATTTCTGCCGCATAGGCCGCGCTGGTCTCCGCAATATTCGCACATAATGAAATCGTGTTCGTCGTCAGACGACATTCCTATGTTCATAGGTGAAACATTAAACACTTATTAGTTTTATTAATTCAACTAATTCTGTTAATTCAACTAGTTCAACTAATTAATTGAACTAATTCAACTAAGCACTTACGAAAAATATACCTAATTAATTGAACTAATTCAACTAACTAGTTCAACTAATTAATTCAACTAAACTAGTTCTATTAATTTTCTTACTAAAAATAAGGTAGCTAGTTCTATATAATAAAATGTTAATTAGATAATGAAATCTCATATAACTAAATTAAATATATATCTAACATATAATTTATATCTAATTCATCTAACATTTGACACTAATATCTAACATATGTTCATATATAGGTGAAACATTAAACACTTACTAGTTCTATTAATTCAACTAAATAAACTAGGTCTATTAATTCAACTAAGCATTTACTAAAAATAAACTAGTTCTATTAATTTCTTACTAAAATAAAGTAGGTAGTTCTATATAGCAATATTTTGATTAGATCATCAAGTCTCATATACCTAAATTTTCTTACTAAAAATAAACTTGTTCTATTAATTTTCATACTAAAAATAAACTATTTATATTAATTCAACTAGTTCAAATCTCATATATATACCTAATTAATATCTAGCTATACTAATTCAACTAGTTCAACTTGTTCTAATTCATATAAAATATATTTGACATGAATATTTAATATCTTTTTCATATAATTCATCTAACATTAACATTCTAACATTATTATCTACGTAATTTATCTAACATTAATCTAAACAACAGAAAATAAGTAAAAACAATGTGTGTGTGTGTGTGTGTGTGTGTGTCTGTGTGTGTGTATGTGTGTGTGTACGAGCGGGGGGTGACGACGTACGGGCGGCGGCGGGCGATGACGGCGACGGGCGCGGCGGGCGAGAGGCGGCGGCGACG